ACAATGTACGTTATATACAGAATGATTTACCTTTGTAAATCACAGGTTGTATTTTTCAGAACTTTACCAAGAATTCTTTGCCACTTGAGGAAAATATCAGTATGATATATAAGTTGCCAATATATCAAGCCTATATTAGTCCATTTGTAGCTATTCATGGTCTCTACATAGAAAGGTAAATAGCTGTTTCCTTTACATTCCATTTACATTCTAATATAACTGTGCCTCAGCACTTATAAATATTAAGATAAATTTTTTAAATATAAATCAATTTTTTATTTCTCCTTTTTGCCACACACAGGGCATTACATTGACTGTTTACGAAGTTATGTGTATTAATAGGTTATATTATTTATGAATTTAATTTCACAAGAGGAAAGATGTGACAAAATATAATAAAAAAGGTTCACTGAATCTGATGAAATAATTAAAAGCCACCTAAGAAAAATATCAGTCTTTTCTGTGGTCTTTGCCTTTGCTATTCCCTGTGCTGAACCCTCTGCTGTATTCACACACACACCGGCACTATTCAGCAAGGCAGGCTCCACCTCATCCTTCGGGTTTTAGCTCACCTCATCTTCTTTCAGAGGTCATCTCTCAGCCCCAACCTCATTATTATTCCACCATAGTATACAGCTCATTTATTTCCTTCCTAGCATTTTATGCAATCTATATTTGTCAATTTTGTATATTGTCTGTTTGCCCCTTTAGAAAGGAAGCTCCATGGAGGCAGAGGCTCGTCACCTTGTTCACTACTGTATTCCCCACATAGCACGATGACTGAGATACACAGATGATCAATACATACTTGTTGAATAAATGGGCTCATGAATAAACATTAGTAGATAGTAGCAAAAATCCTAGAAAGTGTCAATATGGAAATAAAGAGACAACAGAGAATAATAGAAATAAATTATACAATTCCCAAATAAATGATGAGGAGAATACATCATACAATAAAGACAGTAAATATAAAATGACACTTAGAACCAATTAAAAAAGTTAAAGCCAGTCATATGCCATCTACAAAGGAAATGCCTAAAGGAAAAGAATATGAGAAAGTTAAAGATGGGCAAAAGTATGCCAACATTTTTTTACAGGCAAGTTATATTAACGTGCAATAAAGCTGGATGTCAAGTAAGATAATATTAACACATTAACTGCCATGAGAGTTGTATTTAACTCACTCTAGTTTTGACCCCGGGGCCGCATGAAGCATATATAAAATCTTACTTGTTGATATTCTTATTGTTACAATTAATGTGGACAATTCTTTTTTTTTTTTTTTTTTGGACAACTTAATTCTAAAAACGTGTATTAAATGAATAGAAGTCAATAAATTTTGTTTATTTATGTTTATCTTTAAATTACAATCGAAGATTTTATTATATTTTCATAATAAAACCCCATGGCCCCAACCAAAAGTTTCTGTGTTTTCTGTGGGGCAGTCAATGTGTTAAACATAACCAAGAAGTACACTTTATGATGATTACAGATACAATCCTAAAATAAACTATGACTGCCAAGAACATTTATAAACTAAAAACTCTGCATGAAAAAATATATATAGCAGTAACTACAGGAAGTACTGGGAAAAATAAACAAAAACATAAAAGCTGTGTGAGATTTTAATGTTTGCTCAGTCACTGCTCAGATCAAGTACTCAAAAAATTAGTATGTAGACAGGGTGATGTGACACATTATATTTTCCGTTATAACAAAAACACAACAAAGAACAAAGGTAAAATAAACCAGTAAGTTAACAATGAAATAAGGGAGAAAGCCGAAATACAAAAAGTTATCAATAAAAGGGAAAATAACAGATCAAGAGAAAATTAAGTTCAAGAGCCATACACTCTGCAAAATTATATGCTTTTAAATTTGAAATTTTAAAATGGATGATTTTGTGGGAAAACACAAATTATCAAAACTGACTCACAAGATAGAAAACTTAAAGGAGGACATAACCAAAGATGACATTAAGAATGTTGCCAAAAAAGCAACAAGCCAGACACATTCGTAGGAGTATGCTTTCAAATCTTCAAGGAATCTAATATTCTCATAGCAAAGGAGGGGAAGGGAAGAAAACCTGTACTTCTGTTTTTCATGAATCCAGCATAATACCCATCACCAAAACCTGACAAAGCACACAAAAAAGACCATAATGAAGCAAAAGTCCTAAATATAAAGAATCCAGAAATATATAAAGCCAAAGAAAGGTTATTCTAGGCGTACAATAATGGTTCAATATTAAGTAACCTAGTAATATATTTCACCATATGCTAAGTCAGCAACAACAAAGATTTTAAAAGATGCAGAAATATTCTATCAATTTACCTCCCCAATATCATCCTGATTTTTATGGCTACTTCATTAACATAAAGCATACACACATATCAAATCTGTAAGATGTATAAGGGTATTTGCTACAGCATTGTTAAACATTTAAAGACCCATTCATAAGGTACACACAATGGAATACTAAAAAGCCATGCATTATTATAGAGTATCTGTAATGCAGAGAAAGTAAACTAAAAGAATACACATCAAACTATTTACAGAACTTGTTCCTGACTCTGTGAGATTTTACTAACAAGCATATGCGATTACAGTATTTTTTTCTTTTTTTTTTTTTCCTGGCACTAGACTGATGGACGATTACAGTATTTTTAAAGTCTAAAAGATAAAAGTGAAAATTCTCATTTTGTCCCTATATGCCAAATAATACGGAAATGGGAAAGAATAGGCCAACAAAGGGCATATAGAATGGAAAATTAAAATAGGAGTAATATTAAAGAAGTATAGGTAAAAGATACACAAACGGGAAAAAGCTAGGCAAAGTTAAAAGGATGCTATCCACAGAAAAAGCACACAAGGGACAGAAAATGACAATAGCTTAGTGTGAGGATTGCAAAAACACCTGGGCCTACCAATACTAAACACAAAGTGCATTCCTAAAATATCCCCAAGAAAATACTATCAAGAAATCCTAAAGTTTCATGCTACACTCTGGAGCTACTGTTATCTCTTTCAATCGACCAACTGCCTCAATTTAAACATCTGCATCCAGAACAGATATGCTACACTATACTGCCATCTGCAGAGCAGACTTAGTACTAAGAATTTCCACTAAGAACACTTAAATATGTTGTCTATTGAAGGCATAAGGTAAATGACAGAGAAACTAAAACCAGTGGTACAACTCTACTGGGAGAAGAAAGCTAGGTGTTGGAAAGAGTAGTGACAAGAATAAATCATTAGACAACATCTAAAGTTGAGAAATCAAGAAACAACAGCATATGTTTTCCATATCTAGCAATATGGAAACAAAACTACCAGAATCCAAAATAAAACTAGTTAAATATCTGCCACAAAGAAAGGGACTGGAACTAGGAAAGGAAAAGCACATTTGCTTTTTATCAGAAGACCTTACTATCTGACCATGTGATCACCGTGATAAGTACTGCAAAGGTATTTTTTTTAAGTATTGCAAAATTTTCTCAAAATGGGTTAACTAAGCCTAAGAATAAAGGAATCAGTTCTTTCTTAGGGTTGTTTGGTTTTTTTCTTTTTGAACTCAGAAGATCGTAAATGATTTTAAAAGAAATTAATTTGACAATTATAAAAGTTAACATAAAAGCACAATTCCGAGTAAAGGAGACTGAAAGCGATACAAAAACTGCCAACCAGTACCCAAAACTTCGTTCAATAGGCACCTATCACTACAATGTACAGAAGTTCACTACTAGCTGAGTTTACATAAAAGTTTATTAGAAATAGCAACATTGAAGAACTGGAATATTCTGCAGATTATTTAATTAATAAACATTTACTGATGACCAACTACATATAAGGTGCCCAATCAGAATTTTCACAAAAACACAACATTCTATTCCCTAAAACAATCATAGTCATCTAAGTAACTTCAGTCAAACTAAAGCCCCATCTCCTAGTACCACAAGCCTGAATATAACCAGATAGCATATAAAACAAAAACTTAAGGTCATTGTACAAATTACAAAAGCACAATCAAGACATTTATTGTTGTCACCCAAATAGTGGACACTATACCCAAAAAAGAAAAAAAAAGACATGTATTGTCCACTAAAGGGATAAGACTTATAACTGTGTTTATAATACAAATCCACTCATTCAATAGACTCTTCTATTTAATGCCATTAAGAATAGCAAATATGACTACTAGGCAGGCCACAGCAATAATCTATTTGGAGTCTAATATTACTATTTTACTCTACATAGTTCTGTACTATTAGAATATTTTACCGTTTGTATTATTTTGAGATTTTATAATTGACGTTGAATTCATTTCTTGCTGTTTTATAAAACTTCAAAAGCAATACACGTTTATAGTAAAATACCACCATATTTGCCAAAATGGGAATTTCTATTTCAATAAGCAAAGAAATTTCTCATCACTCAACCCTGTTTAATTAGTATTACACTTGACAAATATTGACCAAATACTTAAAATTTGAAGTATCGGTATCACACATTTCGTAGGTGGCAACATATAGATTAGCAACCAACTCTACAACTGCAAGAAAAAAACTACGTCCTTTCTTACCCAATATGATAACTGAAAGATTAATAAGGTAAGAGAATACTAGTCACCAACAAAAGTTTGTTCTTTTTACCCTTTTGCTTCAAGCTTTCATTTCAGGATGTGAAGTTACATTTGCAAAATTTTAAAGACAAAGAAACAAACCCCTGTTTGGTGAGGCTGAGCTACAAACATAAGAAATCATGAACTGCTACACTTTGATTCCAAGTTTAATTAACCTAAATTTTTTCAAATCACATATTACAAACTGCCTTCTAAGAAACAATATATACAGGAGCCATCAGTTCTGTTCTAAGATAATGCTGAAAAGGCAATATTAAAAGCATAAATTATAACTGTATTATAAATACTATAAATTTCATTACTCTAAAAAGAGTAATATACTTGCAAACTAAAGTATCTATACAGAAAGACTCACCTTCATCCACAGAAAACTGACAGCTCTTATCGTTGAAGAAAAGTATTTTCTTCTTATCAGGACGATTTACAAATAATATCTGGTCCCCTAAAGCCTTAAAGATAAAGAAAGAATTTTCAGTTAACTCCAAATTACCTCACCAAAAAAAAATTTTTTGCACAACAAAGGACTCTCATTATTTAAAACCCTCACTGCACTAAACCATTAGGGTCCACTGGACCCAATATTAGTGGTTTTTAGTGTTTGAGTTTTTTGAGCAACTTTTTATTTTTTGTTTTTAAAGACACAGGCTCTCATTACTTTGTCTAGGCTGTAGTGCAGTGGCTATTCACAGATATAATCATAGCACATTATCGTTTCAAACTCTTGGGCTCTTGAAATAAAAAAAAAATCTTGGGCTCAAGGGATCCTCCCGCCTCAGCCTCCCTAGTAGCTGGGACTATAGGTACATGCCACTACGCCCAGCCTGTTCTAACTATTTTCAAGGATATTTCAAGGCTTTTATTCTTAGAGATCTTCCAAAGAATATAAAGAAAATGTGTTTTTCTTAGAACAAGATTAAATCCTTGTTGTGATTACTAAGTCCATTGGACCCTTTTATTAATCTAAGGCACACTGTTGGATATTAGCCTTCTTACTTTTCTTCTACCTTGAAATATTTTGCTACTTGCTTATCATTACCCATCAATTATTTCCAACGATACTTTTAAAAAGCTAAAGTAATATGAAAATGGAAGAGTAATTAAATCACCTAGAAGTGGGGTACAACAGTGAAATAAATAGGCACTTCAGTTTTCTTACTGCTTTGCCCAAAGTATTGAATCATCTTTCAAGGAGAGATAAAAGGCCAGGCACAGCAGGCTCAAGTCTGTAATCCCAGCACTCTGGGAGGCCAAGGCGGGAGGATTGCTTGAGCTCAGGAGTTCAAGACCACCCTGAGCAAGAGCGAGACCCCGTCTCTACTAAAAATAGAAAGAAATTAGCCAAATAACTATAAATAGAAAAAAATTAGCCAAACAACTATAAATAGAAAAAAAATTAGCCAGGCATGATGGCCTGTGCCTGTAGTCCCAACTACCCAGGAGGCGGAGGCAGGAGGATCACTTGAGCCCAGGAATTTGAGGTTGCTGTGAGCTAGGTTGACGCCATGGCACTCTAGCCCAGGCAAGAGAGTGAGACTCTGTCTCAAAAAAAAAAAAAAAAAAGATAAAAGACTGGAGTGGTTTTGTTGTCTTTAAGCTTTTACTGAGCACACTTGAAAATTTCATATTTTCTACCCTTGAGAGCAAAGACAATTGACAAGACATTTCACTATTAGATGAATAAGATGAATACAAAAAGCCAAATAGCAATCTAGACTGATACTTGATACAATTCCTCATAGAAATGAAGTTTAAAACTATGAGTCTTTAGATGACAATACCACAAATGAATAATCTCAATCTTAAACCATCAATGAAGTAGAGTGGAGGGGTAGGGGGATTAAAAAAAAATTAAGAAAAAAAGAATCAGTGAGGAAACAAGATACTTCTAAGGACAAAATGAAAGTATGGTATCTTCATCCAGTTAGTTATTCAACAAGAAGGACTTCACACAATATTTTGTGATAAAAATGTTTACCATCTTACTTTGCTAAAAGGATATAGAACAGTATTCTTTCTTCTTTTTAATGTATGTTTGCTAAAACTTATTTGATAGAGGTCTGCTCTCTTAAATTCCTTAAATTTCTAATAAAGTTGTTTTGCACCGTTCCTTTATTCTTACTTATATAAATTATTCATAAAATGACTTAATACAGAGTCCATTAGACTAAGTTGGAAAATGGTGATAAGTACAGGTTGAGCATCCCATATCTGAAAATCAATGATCCAAAATGCTCCAAAATCCGAAACTTTCTGAGCACCAACATGACACTCAAAGGAAATGCTCATCGGAGCACTTCAGATTTGGGATTTTTAATGTGGGATGCTAAACCAGCATAATGCAAATATTCAAAATCCAAAAAAAAATCTGAAATCCAAAAACACCTCTGGACCCAAGCATTTTAGATAAGGGATACTCAACCTGTATATGTGCAAAGCAAATGAAAAGAAACCTGAAGACATTCCTAAAAGAACTTAAAGACGACACAAATAAATGGCAAGACTTCTGTGTTCATGAATTGGAAAACTTAATATTGTTAAAATGTCAATACTACCCAAAGCAATCTACAAATTCAGTACAATCCCCATCAAAATCCCAATGGCATTTTTCGCAGAAATGGAAAAATCCATCTGAAAATTCATATGGAATATCAAGGGACTCCAAATAGCCAAAATAATCTTGAAAAAGAACAAACTTGGAGATCTCACACTTCCTGATTTACTAATAGGAAACATATTACAAAGCTATATTAATCAAAACATTGTAGTACTGGCATAAAGACAGATACACAGACCAATAGAACAGAATAAAAAACCTAGAAATAAACCTTCACATACATGGTCAAATGATCTTTCATACTTAATAACCTAATAGTATTTGTTGAAATAGCTCTTGTTTACAAACACAAGAAAACACTAATGTCTTTAGGGAAAACTATCCAGAAATATCCTGAAGAATCAAACAATCATACCACAACGACAAAAGAGACCTGTCAAAGTTACACAAAGATGCCTACCCTTTTCCTGCTCTGTGGCATAAGACAAATTTTAAATATTCCAGTGGCTCACTACAACCTCATGTATATATAAGACTTCAAAAATAATCTAAAAATTTTTGATAGTTTTTTTAACCAAGATATTATTAATTCAAATAGTATTAAGACACAGAAAGGAAAAAGAGGTTACCTTGACAGCTTTCTGGGAATTGGGCAGTCCTTCTTCTATGTCTTCTAAAAGAATCCCTCCTAATCCTCGCTGGTCATGCTTATCTAAGAGCCTAAGTAGCGCCTTCTTATCTTTCAAGTTGTACTTGGGCTTGAAAGCATATTTCCCATCTATTACTTCAATTTTGGGATTGTTGACTAATGCCTGTAACAATGACACAATTTGGATATGTTAACAAAAGGAAAGATCATATATACATAAATTCTACTAATTACTTAAAAATGTAACGCTACCCAACAATAGGGCTGAATGAAAAGTATCTTGTGAATACGAACTGGTAGATCTAAAACACTGGATTATCCAGGATCCCAGAACAGTAGGTAAAGAATAGCATAGTACTCACTTTTTATAAAAGAAACTTATATGTTATTTACATAAATTCTTTGAACAGAAATAAACCATTTTATTACAACTGTTTTGAAGAAAGCTGAAATCATATTCTTTTGGAAGAAAGACAAAATGGATAAGAATAAAAAAATTTATTAATATTAACACACAAAGTAAACTGGGTATTGTCCATCTCACCCTCAAAGTATGGCTTATTGTTTATTGGCATTATAACATGAGAAACATTACTCTGGGATAAACAAATCAATAGTCAGTCTTTTCCACCTGGTATCAACTGGCTGCTGTGAAGAACTGAAAAGGACCAGGCTAGTGCATACAAGAACTTTACCTACAGTATCAGCTTGAAAACAAAACTGAGTAGGAACACAGGAATTACTGAATATATTTATGTTCCTAGTCAGTTCTGTTGCACAGCTAATATCAGAAGGAAAGCTCTTCACAAAAAGCAACCCTATTTTCCTCTGCAGCTGTCAGCCTGATCCTAAAAGGAGAAAGAAACACAGAAGAAAAGAGAATGGAATACTTAATAAAAATAATCTTTAATGTTGGTAGTCTACAAAATTCCAAAATCAGGTAAACCAGCACATTTAAATGTGGATTACTGGCCGGGCACGGTGGCTCACGTCTGTAATCCTAGCACTCTGGGAGGCCGAGGCAGGCGGATTGCTCGAGCTCAGGAGTTCGAAACCAGTCTGAGCAAGAGCGAGACCCCGTCTCTACTAAAAATAGAAAGAAATTAATTGGCCAACTAATATACATAGAAAAAAAATTAGCCGGGCATGGTGGTGCATGCCTGTAGTCCTAGCTCCTCGGGAGGCTGAGGCAGGAGGATCACTTGAGCCCAGGAGATTGAGGTTGCTGTGAGCTAGGCTGACGCCACAGCACTAACTCTAGCCTGGGCCACAAAGCGAAACTCTGTCTTAAAAAAAAAAAAAAAACCTTTAAATGTGGATTACCATTATTTGTATGTCACTAATTTAATGAGCTACTGGTTCATTTTATATTATGAAAATCAAAAACTTTTATTTTGCTTGGTAAAAAAAATAACTGAATTATAGTTTAGGAAATTTACATTTAGTCTTTACAATCTATCACTGGCCCTAGAAAGTAGACTTTTTAGTTGTTATTTCATATTTAAACTTAAAAGAGGCAAATATCTGAATTTTTAAAATGCTATTCATTTCCAAATACGCATGGTTACAGATTGTGTTGGGGTTTCTTCAAATAGTGTGTGTTCATATACAACATGCATGATTATTTTTCCCTATCGGGCCATAATAGTAGTAATAATGCAACAAAATATGTTATCATCCCTATTGTACCTTGTGCTTTAAATTTCCTAAAACCTACATATAGATTATAAATTAAGCAATTCAAAATAAGCATTAATTATTCTGTAAAAACATTAATAGAACTAGTACACTGAGTTCTTTTTGATTTTTATTCTAAAGCCTCAACATTTTAAAATAAATAGACAACTGGCAGGGCGTGGTGGCTCACGCCTGTAATCCTAGCACTCTGGGAGACCAAGGCAGGAAGACTGCTTGAGCCCAGGAATGTGAGGTTGCAGTGAGCTATGATGATGCTACTGCACTCTAGCCCGAGCAACACAGCAAGACTCTGTCTCAAAAAAAATAATAATAATAAATAAAAAATAACAGACAAATAAAATTATGTGAAAACCAACAAATCAACCTTATAAATGTATATGTTTAAAAAACAAAGACCCTACAACAGTGTTTCTTTTAAGAAAATTATCAGATTTCAATATATTAAAAATACTCTAGTTATAGCAAATATAACTCTTGGTAATCAACTAGTTTTTTATATTTTAAGTCTATCTTACCTCAGTCATTAGCCATTGCTTCTGCTTGAGCCCAATATCTAAATGTTGTGTTTCATCCAAAATTTCTTCTAAAGTTAGGGGATAAGTATCTCCTCGCTGATGTCGTGTCTATCAAGGGAAGAAATCATTATTAGAAGAAGAGTTTTAAAATGCTACATGCATTACATTATAGATACACATATATTTTCAGTAATGTAGAACATGTAATATTTGAGGCAGTAGAATTATAGTGATGAAGAGCACAGACTATGAAATCGGACAGAACCAGGTTCAAATTCATGTCGCCATGAAATCAAATGATATACTGAGAAAAAATATTCACAACTCCTATCACAAAGAGCTAATGTTCCTAATATTTCAAGAGCTTCAAAAACCTAACATAAAAATGACCCAAGAGAGAAACACACAGATCACAAAAAATGACCTTAAACATATGAAACAACACTCGACTTCCACCAAAGTATTTTTCACTTATTGGACTAGCAAAATTCCACATGTCCGACGACTCCACCGGTGTGGCTATGAGGAAACAAGCCTTCTTACAGACTGCTGGTAAGAGTGCAAACTGGTACAACCCCTAAGGAGGGCAATCTGGCAATCTGAATGCATTTAAACCCTTTAGCCCAGCGATCCTATTTCTAGGAATTTATCCTACAGACACACAAGAACGACACAGAAAAGTGACTTAATGTCACTACAGCATTGTGTGTGAAAGGAAAATATTAGAAACCCAAGCGGCCATCAGTAGAAGACTAATTAAATAAACTGCGACACAACTGTATTACTACATAGACATTCAAAAAGCAAATGTAAATGTTCACTATGTGCTAATTTGAAAAGATGTTCAGGACAAATTAATAGGTTAAAAAACACATGTGGACACCAAATGCTAGAGAGGATGTGGATGAACAGGGACTTGCATTCACTGCTGGCGGGAATGCAAAATGGTACAGCCACTTTGGAAGACAGTTTGCCAGTTTCTTACAAAATTAAACATACTCTTACCATTCCATCAATCTAGTAATCACGATCCTTGGTATTTACCTGAATTAGCTGAAAATTTATGGCACACAAAGACCTGCAAAGGATGTGTACAGCAGCTTCAACAGTAATTGCCAAAATTTGGAAGTAACCAAGATGTTCGTCAGTAGGTGAATAGATAAATAAACTGTGGTACACCCAGACAATGGAATATTATTCAGTGCTAAAAGGAAATGAGTTATCAAGCCATAAAAAAGGAGGAACCTTAAATAAATAGTATTAAGAACCCAATATGGGCCGGGCGTGGTGGCTCACGCCTGTAATCTTGGCACTCTGGGAGGCCGAGGTGGGTCGATCAAGGTCAGGAGTTCAAAAAAAGCCTGAGCCAAGAGCAAGACCCTGTCTCTACTAAAAACAGAAAGAAATTAATTGGCCAACTAAAAATATATAGAAAAAATTAGCTGGGCATGGTGGCACATGCCTGTAGTCCCACCTATTCGGGAGGCTGAGACAGAAGGATTGCGTGAGCCCAGGAGATTGAGACTGCTGTGAGCTAGGCTGACGCCACGGCACTCTAGCCCAGGCAACAGAGTGAGACTCTGTCTCAAAAAATAAAATAAAATAATAAAATAAGAAGCCAATATGAAAATGCTACATACCACATAGTTCCAACTATACGACATCTAGAAAAGGCAAAATCATGAAGACAGTAAAGAATTTAGTGGCTGCCAATGACTGGGGGGAGGATGGGATGAACAGGCAGGACAGAGAGGATTTTCAGGGCAGTGAAACCTCTCTGAATGACGCTATAATGGTGAATACACAGGAAGTATTAACACAACAGTAAGAGTGAACCCTAATGTAAACCACTGACTTTGAGCAATAAGATGTCCATGTAGCTTCACTGGCTGTAACAAACGCATTCTTCTGGTGGGAGAATGTCGATGGTGGAGGAAGCACTGGGGGAGGGTCGAAGGTGGAGGAAGCAGTGGGGGAGGGTCGAAGGGAGGATGTGAGAATTCTGTACATTCCACACAATTTTGCTGTGACCCTAAAATAAAACTGCTCTAAAAAATAGCTTGTGTTTTTTTTTTTTCAGCAAATGTAAAAGGAAAAAGTATATATGTTAAAAACCATGTACTATGAAATCTGGTATATGGCAAAGAACAGAAATAATATATATATTTATACTTTGTTTCTGCACAAAGAATCAGTGAAAAAGACACAAGAAATTACTAAATGAGGTTACTATAAGCAGCAGGACAAGGGAGAAAACACACAGGATTAGAGGTAAAAATAAGACTTCTCCATTTGTATCTTTCTATTTTGTTTTACTTTTTGAACAAAGAGATGTACTGCTTAAAAAGCAAAAGTAACTCCTCAAAAGAAATCCAAGCTCCAACTTCCAACACATTACTGAACCTCTCTGGGACAGGCCCTGTACAACTAGAATAATGATTTCTCAAAACTAGAACATCTAGAAAGCAGATGAAGACATTTTAAGCCTAACATTACATACACACAAAAACAATTTTTGAGCATTTGCTCTCAATTCATCCATTTATTCATTCAAATATTTAGTGGTGCCTACTATGTGCTAAGAGTACTGCAAGGAGAGATATGAAGAAATGCAAACTACTTCTGCCTTTTAAGAACTCCTAATAGAGGAGGAAGCTAAACATACAAGCTGTGAAAGTTGGGTATACAATTATCTGTCAAAAAGACAGCTTCAGTCAAGAGACACCAAATGCTAGAGAAATGAAGAGAAAGACCTTTGAGTGACGACTGTAAAAGGAAGGAGAGCAGCTGCAGACAGCACCGCGGTCTCCAGAGTGGGGTGCACACACCACCTGGGTACACGAGTCAATCTGGATGACTCTTTAGAAGTTTCATTCAGTTTTCCTAAAATTTCCATTTAAAAATCATGCTTTAGGCCGGGCGCGGTGGCTCACGCCTGTAATCCTAGCACTCTGGGAGGCCGAGGCGGGCGGATTGCTCAAGATCAGGAGTTCAAAACCAGCCTGAGCGAGACCTCGTCTCTACCACAAAAATAGAAAGAAATTAATTGGCCAACTAATATATATAATATAAAAATCAGCCGGGCATGGTGGCTCGTGCCTGTAGTCCCAGCTACTCGGGAGGCTGAGGCAGGAGGATTGCTTGAGCCCAGGAGTCTGAGGTTGCTGTGAGCTAGGCTGACGCCACGGCACTCACTCTAGCCTGGGCAAGAAAGCGAGACTCTGTCTCAAAAAAAAAAAAAAAAAAAAATCATGCTTTAATAATGTTTAGTATGTGGATTGCCAATGGTGCCCACTTGGCTTCATGTCAGCTGGTCCACATTTCAGAGGGTGACACGCATGGAGCAACCCTGAGGGAAGGCTGGGAACCCACATGACAAAGGGACTGACAGGTGCGGACTTGCTCGTTCCTTCACTTTCAGCATTCTGCAACGTACTGTGATTTGCCGGCTATCAGATGAATTGTGGCCAATTTTATTTTTTTAAAACAGACTTTTAAAATTTAGATACTGTATAATGCTTTCACAAAGCTGTAAGGAACGACGACTTAGAGATGAATTACAAATTTCTCTTTACAAAAAGGCAAATGTTTCAAATCTGCTAGATATCCTATGATTACAGCAGCTATTTGTAGTTTGCTAACAATTATTTTAAAAGTAATTATAATAAACCATCTGTTCCTTCAAAGGAAAACTAGCATCTTAACCAATGTGTAAAAGTAACAAAGTAACTGCTTTTTTAAAGAAATTCATGCAGAGCAAAGAGCATTTTAAAAAAGTGTTTTAGAAATATTTCCATCATTCTGTGATTTCTGAGTTTAAAAAGTCTAAAAATAAAAACTCATATCTAAAAACTAGCATACCTTAAAAATTTTAGAAACAATTTTCTAATCTTTATTTTTAGAAAGTCTTCCAAACAAAATCCTGTGTTTAAAATCGCAATTGTCAGCCGGGCGCAGTGGCTCACGCCCATAATCCTAGCACTCTGGGAGATCGAGGCGGGCGGATTGCTCGAGGTCAGGAGTTCGAAACCAGCCTGAGCAAGAGTGAGACCCCCGTCTCTACTATACATAGAAAGAAATTAATTGGCCAACTAATATATATAGAAAGAAAAATTAGCCGGGCATGGTGGTGCATGCCTGTAGTCCCAGCTACTCGGGAGGCTGAGGCAGGAGGATGGCTTGAGCCCAGGAGATTGAGGTTGCTGTGAGCTAGGCTGACGCCATGGCACTCACTCTAGCCTGGGCAACAAAGCGAGACTCTGTCTCAAAAAAAAAAAAAAAAAAATATGTTTTACATGAACTGACAGATAATCCTGCCTATAATCTCAGCACTTTGGGACTCTGAGGCAGGAGGATCACTTGATGCCAGGAGTTCAAGACCAGCCTGGGCAACACAGTGAGACCCTATCACTACAAAAAAAAAAAGAAAATTAAAAATTTAGCCAGCCGTGCTGACGCATGCCTACAGTCCTAGCTACTCAAAAGGCTGAAACAGAAGGATCGCTTGGGCCCAGGAGTTCGAGGTTAACAGGAGCTATGACAACACCACCGCACTCTAGCGTGGGGTAACAGAGCAAGTCCCTATCTCTGAAGGGGGAAAATAAAAAGATGGACATTTACTAGTCAAATTACCTTGCTAGTGAGATGAGATTAAAAAAATCAGTGTCATGATTTTACAGCAATGTACTATTGTAGACTGAATAAAGCATCCCCAACCTCAAAGCTATCCACATCCAAATCCCTTACCTTGTGTGACAAAAGGGACTTCCCTGGTATGATTAAACCAAGGATCTTGAGATGGAGGCATGAGTGTGGATGGATTATCAAGGTGGGCCCAACATAATCACAAGTGTCCTTACAAGGGGAAGGGTCAGGCAGGAGAGTCAGAGCGAACAGCAGGAGATGCAACAAAGCAAGTAAGAGGTTGGAGGAAGGGGCCATGAATCAGGGAACACAGGTGGCCTCTAAAAGATGACAAAAAAAAAAAAAAAAGGAAACGAATGCTCTCTACAGTTTTACTTTTTCCTTTCCAACCTGTACGTGTTACTTTTTTCCTGCCTTACTGCACCCGGTAGAACTTCTAGTACAATACGGAATAGAAGTTGTGA